TGTGTGGAGTTTAAAAACACACTGGATTACCACATGACATCACAAGGTGGAACTGTGTGTTTTTCACCTACTGTATGTACTGGATATTGAAGATTTTACTGAAAATCTTCCTTCTTGTTTTCTATTTTAAAATGTTGGTGATTTGGAGAGTGATTATTCTTTCTGATTCATGAGCTGGTTTCACTTAGTGGAAACCGTCTGACCTCACAGCATTAGGATTCGTTCGCTAGATGGTAGGTAGGTACTTTTTTTATTTAACAAATTGCTGCTATTTGGTCGTGACATATATAACGCGCTGCTAATGAGGCTAACTGGTATATTAAGCTTTTTCCAAATCCCGTAAGAAGAAGGACAATAACATTTGTCCCCTTGATAAAATTCACCAAACATTCTCTTTGTTTTGGCTTTAACTCATCGATCTCGGGAATCGCTGACAAGTGGAGTTGGATGGTATTACGGTATCCTGGGGTAACAAAAAGTAGCAAGAGTGTCAGTTTCATTACCATCATTAAAAAATCTGCAGTGCATAAGGACCTAATATAATATAATAATTTATTGATCCCTACATTTGTTTGCTCAGCACAAATGAATGTGTGGTTGTATTTTCAATTTAATTCCATCATGATTTAAAACTAACAGTATCTATAATGTTTCTTTTAACTGCGTGGGGAGATGATGTTCGTTTAGTTTCGTTCTGTTGTCACGTGACGCTCATAAGAGAGACCAAGACAAGACGGCAAGTCCGGCTGCAAGAGAGTTGGCCCCCCCCCAAAAAATAAAACACTAGTACCTCTACAATTTGCCAGCATTTTGGCTTCAGTCGCACATTTGTTTATGTTTTAAAGAAACTAAACTTAAAACCACATGACTCATTTGCATAAACTATAAAGTGCTGATAAAAACAGCTTGCTCCTTTTGTGCTAATGCGTCAGATTCTGTCAGACTAAAGGATATGACTCAGTGAAATACGTGTGTTCTTTCAGCGATAGAGGATGTGCGACTGATGGTGAGTCTGTTCTGTGTGTGTATCGCGTTGGAGATGGTTCATGTGAAACTTTTCAGAGATTACAAATCTGCAGGTCATACACACAGACCGTATAGTAGTGTGGTTTCATATCTTACTAAAGTCGTACTAAAACATTTTGGTAATACAGTAATACTGTATACCCCGGAGAAATCCTGTGAAGGTTTTAACGGTATCGAAATTTGGATATCACCCAACCATATTGCCAACACAGAATGTCTGGCTCTTCGCTGATTGGCTGGTGCCCAAACTCACACTTCTGGGGTTTTTGTAAACTGTCTATTGTATTTTGATTCCTGACCTAGTTGCTGGAGAGAAATGAAACTGAGCAGAGGCACTAGGTGGCGCCAGCCTGGCTAACGGGGAGCATCTATACATCCTGTACGTTGTAATGGTAATTCCATAACCGTTATCTAGCAACCGTGATTATGATTTAACAAATAAAAATTAATGACACCTCGGTAATTTTGTTAAATCACGGTTTGAACTGTCAGAAAAATGCCTTCCTTGTGCCTGAATTGTCTCTGCATTTTGGAATGAGTTTTCTATGTTGATTTTCCTATTAAAACTCAATACTTCCTGTATTTTTGTGGTTTTCTTTTCAACTTTTCTCACAAACTGCCACTTAACCCTATCCAGGCAGACGTTGCAGATTTGCAACAACTAAATGCCAATTACCTACTTACTCTAAATCCATATTTTATGAGCTTTTTTTTACTCAGGAGCCTTTTCTCCCATCCATGCTGATAAATGTGGACGATGCAGACTGGACAAGAACAGCTCCACACAAACGACCTGCCAGAAGTGCAAAGTACTTTTGTTGTTTACAAAGGATAAACATTGTTTCTTGGAGCACAACACGAAAAAGTGATGTTGTTCTGCCACTGTAAAGCTGTTACACTGTGCTTTATGTTTTCAGTGTTAAGAAAAGTGGTAAACACATAAAGTTAGTGTTCATATCATTTTCAGTCTTCAGTGTTAATTTACCACTGGACCAATGCTGCAAATCTGCAGCATCCCAGAACACATTGCATGTGAAGGTTTCTCTCAAAAAAAAGTCAGGATTGTATATTACTACCCCATATGATCATTTTCCCCAAATATCTGATTTTGTCCTGTTACTAAAATTTTATTTGAGCCTGAGAGGGTTAAAAGTCCTATATTACACAAAATTGACTCTTTAGAGCTTTAAGTCAAGCTAGAATGTTGTTAAATCCTCAAAAACATACCTGGAGTTGTGTTTTGTTTCACTCACACTTGTTTAAATAACCCTGCATTATTAGTCTGTCTACATCTCCAAAGCTCCAAATGCTCTGTTCCACCTTGTGATGTCACGAAGCTGTAGTTTTAGTTAACAGCTACAACAACATTTTACCTTTAGTTCAGTAGAGACAATTGGCAATTCTAGGGCTGAAATGATCCAAATGATTGTAACGAAGGTGTGTGGAGTTTAAAAACACATTAGGGCACTTCCCGTATCACCGCATGACATCACAAATTGGAACAGAGTATTTTCAGTTTGAGAGAATTATGAACCTAATTATGCAGGGTTTGTAAGTGAAACATGTGTGAAAAAACAAAAACAAAACACAACTCCAAGTGTGTTTATGACTAGGAAACATTATAACTCACATCAGAAGTTAATATAAGCTCCTTCAACTGGCGTAAAATTTGGATAAACACTAACCACAGGTACTATTTAGAATTAGACAAACATGAAAACATATCATACGTACTTTTGTATTTTGTATTTATTAAAGCACGGATTTGTGAGGGCACAGTGAGGTGAGTACCAGGCCCCAGCTTCCTTATAAAGTCATGTTATTGTTTAGCTGATGTGCGCATTTCAACTATTTGGCTGCCACCCAAAGTGACTAAACATATGATTCACAGCAACAGTGCAATTGTCTACGGCCTACCTTAGAATGACAATAGCTTTTAACTTAATTTTATTTTCTTTAAAGTTATCTACCCGTTTTTACCGTCTTAAAAAGTGAAACTAGTTCTTTATAAACGCAGTGGTCCAAAGTTATTCCTCACTCTCCTTATGCATTCTGAGCATCTTAATTATTTATTATTCCTGTTTTATTGTATTAAAGTGAATAGTGTGACCGGATTTTCAAAATAAAACACGGGGATATCCCTTGTTTGTGTTGGTTGGTAATAATAAAATTGTTAAACGAGCATAATTAAAGAAAACTGTTCCGCACTCGGCACTAATGTGAGTCAGTATAGTCATATTTTCTTTGTGTTTTTGCCAATTTTAAGAAGCTTTTTTGTTTTTTACTCAAACAAATAACAATTTATCCTTCTCTTTACTGTTAGCATGGATCAAAAATGGTTAAATGGTCAAAAATACTGGGACAAATCACTGGTTTTGTATAAATCTGCTGGGACAGGGGACACGGGGCTCAAAACTGGGACTGTCCCGGGTAAATAAGGACGTCTGGTCACTCTACTTCAGAATGAACCATAAAAGTGCATATTTGGCTTACCTTTTCATTCTTAAATTACAAATTAAATCAATTAAAACAATGAATAATACATTTTGTTCATGTTTTTGGTAGTGGCTTCTATAAAACACAGATGAGTGATGAATTCAAACGTGATTTAGACCTGGTTTAGTTCTGTTATGATATCATCACAGTTTACGTCTTGGTTTGGACGATAATTATCAGATGGATTGAAAGTACAAATAATGAAGATACTAACCGATACTAAAACTAGTATACTCAGTTGAGCAGGTGTTGATTCTAAAAAAAGTCACATTCAGATCTACCTACCTGCACCACTGACACACACACACACAGATATAAAGCCACATGGGGATAGAAAAGAAAGTCAAATACTACGGTTTAATGTTGAAAATCACATTCTATTGTCTAAACAAAGGAGTGTTTCTTATTATCATTGTGGTATCGGAATCGGTAATGAGTATCAAATTTTGACATTTTAATATCATGACAACAAGTCAAGTCAAGTTTATTTTTGGTGTAATTCTAGTTTTAATTTTGGCCCTGGTTTAGTCCTACTTTACATTTGTAATAACTGGAATATATTACAGACAAATATTGTTTACTAGTAATTCCTGGTGTTGTGTAGACCTGGTTTAGATCTGGTTAAATCCTAGATTAGACCTGGTTTGGACCTGTTTTAATCCTAGTTAGGACCTGGTTTGAATCTGGTTTGTCCTACATTAGACCTGGTTTAGTCCTAGATTAACCCTGGTTTGCACCTGTTTTAATCCTAGTTAGGTCCTTGTTTGGACCTGGTTTAGTCCTAGATTAGATCTAGTTTGGACTTGTTTTAATCCTAGTTAGAACCTGGTTTAGTCTCAGATTAGACCTGGTTTGGACCTGTTTTAATCCCAGTTAGGACCTGGTTTGGAACTGGTTTAGTCCTAAATTACTAACTTGGTGGTAACTGGAATAAATTCTAGCATTTATTTTCTACAATGAATTCAAGACCTAGTTTAGATCTGGGTTAGTCCTAGTTTAGACCGAGTTTGGACCTGTTTTAGTCCTGGATTAGACCTGGTTTGGACTTGCTTTATTCCCTAGTTTAGACCTGATCTAGTCCTCAATTATTTGGTGGTAATTGGAATATACTACAGCAATGATTTTCGATTATTAATTCTCTGGTTCAGATCTGGTTTAGTCCTAGTTTAGATCTGGTTTGGACTTGGTTTAGTCCTAGATTAGACCTGTTTGGGTCTGGTTTAGTCCTAGTTTACTTAAACTTAGTTTACTTTAATTGGAAATTACTGTGCAGCCTAATATAGACAGACAAACATTTTCTACAGTGGCACCAAAACTGTAACAAAAGGTTATACACAGTCACACTTCTTCTTCTTATTATTATTATTATTTATTTATTTATTTGGTTTTTTTAACTTTTATTTTCTTTCTTTTTTTCTTTTTTTTTAAATTAAATATCCCTGGAGACTGAATTTCAAACTTGAATAACCCCGTCTTAC